ATTTGAAGTACCCGTAAAGTTCTTCTCTAATATAGCCGAAATCGTCTCGAGTTGCTGGTTCGTCCGAGCGCAAAAGGCCTCCAGTGCAAACGGTTAATTCAGTAGTGTGTAAAGAAATGGGAGAAGAAATAGAATGATTATTGAATATTCGATTATCCGCGAGAGAAAGTTGGTGTTTCACCGAACAAGTGTTTCACCGATAAGAGAATGAAAACTGTTGGGACGTTCGTACCTGGATAAGAGCGAGTCTTCCAAACTGTTGAGCGTAATCTTGAAATCGTTTTGCTGTCTGGTTAGCTCAGCCTTGAGCTCTTCGAGATCCGGTCGCTCGGCTTTCACTACCTCGGCGAGTAATTGATCCTCCAGACCATCCCTCGTTACCGTGAAATTAATTAGAGTAGTTTGTGCCTGCATCTCGGGCTTGTAATGGGGATTAGCCAGCTTCGTGTGCAACAATAATCTGAACAGCGGATCGTATTCGACCTCCTTGTCGCCGATCTTAATCGCCCGACCCTTCTTAATCAAGTTTCTGCCCAGGAGCGGATCCAGCACCGGGTCCACGGTCTCGCCGATGTTCTCGACGAGGACGGTCGACCCGGTCGCCAGACACTGCTCTATCACGTCTAAGTAACCCTTCTGGCCTAGCCTAATCACGCGAAGCTCCTCCCCGTATTTCTGTTTGATCCATTTGATACCCTGAAGCTGAGGGGGAAAAAATAATGATCGAGATCCGACCGACTGACTGATAGACTTTCCTGAATACCTGAGGGTCGATCATTAGAGGCCATCGGTCCGAATTCGTCAGAATGGTCGCGTTCTCCGTCGACATCCGATCGTTCGGCAGTCCTTCGTTGTTCCATTTGGCTATCTGAGTGTCGTCCGTTAGCAACGACAAGGGGTCCAACCCCTCCGTGATCGGAACCGTCGGCTCTAAGCCGCGCAAAAACGGCAGCCACTGCTTATGCAGCAGATCCTGCCGAAATTGCTTCGTGAAGCACCCGACGTAGGAAATAAACGCCGTGACCAGGAGCACGTCCCCCGGCAACGTCGACGCTTGTTGCATGAAACTTGAACCGTTTTGAACGAATTCACGCTAATCAGTCAGAGATAACTTGTTGGATCGAACGCATTGCATGCATTTTAACCCCAGTTAACTGTGTCGATCATTTTGCAAAGTGCGCCCCAGTGTGTGTCGCGATAATCAACCGATGACGGATATAGTCGTGAAACACAGAGTAAGTGGCGCTGTTGAAATATTGGGTCAAAAAGACGACTTTATTTTAGAAAATGAATGAATTTATTCACGGATATATACCCGTGATAACACAAAATTCTGCCATTCTTCCATGACGGATATAGTCGTCAAACACACTTAACTGGTTAAAGGTCAGCGATCTGACGGTAATTGTGTTCGATACGAGTACCTCGCGACCGAGTCTGCCCAACGCACGTTCTCCGACGCGAGACCGCCGACCAGTCTATTCGCGAGAGCAATCGTGGCGTTCGTGGCGTCGGCCTCTTGTTGACACTTGAGCTTCTCCGCGGTCGCCTGCTCGAAATCCGCCGTCAACTTCGCCAATTGTTCCTCCAGCGACTGTTACAGAAACAAGGGTTTACCTCAGGAAATCGCGTCTAACCGCGTTTACATACGGCAACTTTGCGTTTGATCCCGCTCAACTTCTCCTGGGCGGCGGCCAGCTCCGCGTTTGCTTGAGCCAGGGCTTTGCGTTTCGGTTCGACGTCGCAGAACACGCAGTAGAATTTGATTATGTTGATGACCCAGGCGCAGAGACCGGCCGCGGCGGCGGACTTGGATCTGACGAATTCCGGCTCGAATTCCGAGTCCTTCAAATACGGTTGAATCGCTTTGATCACCTCCGGATGGATGTTCTCCTTGTCGTAGTTGATCAACGCATCCAGGAAAGTGTCGACCTTCGCCATCGTGATCTAAATTAAACACGGGTGAAGTCGATGTAATGCCGGCGATCCTGTTTCGAGTACCTTGGCAGCTTTCCAGCTTCTGTCCTTCGGTATTCTGCCTCCCGGGGCCAAGAGGACCATAACTGCGGCCGTGACGTTCGTTACAACCCCCGGTGGCGAACCGAACGACTTCAGTTCCGTGAGGTTCGCCTTGTTCAGTGTGTTCAGAGCCTCTTGAGCGGCTAACAACGCCGGCTCTGCCTTCATCAAGTCCGCCTCGCAGTCCTTCTGCTTTTTCGATACTTCCTCAGCTATTATGGCGACCTTCGACTCCTCCTCGTCGGCTACGCAATACAGTAACCCTCTTTCGTATTGCTCGACGACTAATACCCAAACAGTATATTAGCCGTTTAAAATTTACCGATCGCCTTTTCCTTCTGCACTTTGTCTGTCTCGATGCCAACGATAGCGATCAGAGCATCCGCGGCCTCGTTCTTCTGCTGTAATTCCACTTCCTGAACGGCGAGCTTCTCCTTCAGTTTGTCTACCTGTACCGCTGTCGAGCGAAGCTTCTCCAGTCCGTTCTCCAGCCTCGCTACTCTGCCTCGAAGCTCGCTCGCCTTCGACTTCAACAATCTAGTGTACAGACTGATCTGCTCGAGGAACGACTTCGGCGTGGTGTAATTGTATCGCCGCTCGCTGGCCAAGTAATGTCTGCTAGCTGCGTTCACGCTCGTGTGCGCGTGGGCCATGAACCTCGCCGCCGATTCCCTGCCCGATCGTCCACGCGTTCATCGCAGAATGTTATCCAGTTCGCCGGAGCACTCACCTGTAACTTTCCGGAAGTTCGTCCAACTCCTGCAAGAACCTTTTCGACACGGACATCAAGGCTTCCTGCGGCCATTCGTGAAACCAGTTTATCGACGTGCAATTTATTATCGCCGGGAATTTCCTCGAGCGCACCCTTAGAGTGGATCCTACAGGGGAAAAGCAAAGCACTATCCTCAGCTGACGGCGCACCCGGTCGATGAAGAACTTCCAACAGTTCTCTCGGGTGTCTAGCATCCCGGCGCCCTTTACCTCGTTTCGAACCCCTGCGATCATTAACAAAATATGCGAGCATTATCAAACAATTAAATATCGATGAAAGCTGTAGCCAATTCTACATGCTTATTGGCCCCAAAATGCCTCTCATTTTGTTTTTTCAATCGTCGAACAATATGAAATGGACGTTAAACATAATGAATAAACGTAAAGAAGAGGACGAATTTATGGAAGCTTATCGGGACACGTATCGACCTGCTATTATGTTCTCCACCTCGTCCTCGGCAAATAAATCTGGAACCTCGCCAGAAGCGAGCATGTCGTTGATCAGAACGAGGAACTGTTCATTGGCCACTTGGGCGTCGGTCATCAGGAACACGATGCCCAGATTTTTCAGTCCGGACTTGGTGTACAACGCGGCCAGCTCCAACTTCAAGTCCGCGATACCGTAACCCTTCTTCAGTTGGATCTGGAACACCTCCAGCGTGCTTATGAACGCGGCCAATCGCGATAAGCTTTGCTTGCCGGAGCCACCCACGCCGACGAGCAGCGCGCTGCCTCTGGGCGACTCCAGGATCCTGTTTATCCTGCACACGTGCATCATCGCGTCCTCGAACAACACCAGATTCATCGCTGCCACAAGGTCGTTGTAGCTGACCATCGCCTCCGACAGCAATCGGTGTAAAGTCGCCCAGTCCTTAACCGGCATATACTTTGGCTCTCCCACTCCGCCTACGAAAATGATTTATCATCATTCGATTAAAAAAAAAAAATAAGGTAAAGGAGGTAGTACCTGGACACTTTTGAACATAAATTTTTTATAATGTTTTTTTACTACGAAATTTAAGCATAGTACATGAAAACTTATCATCTTAGCAGATAGCTGGGATCTCATAGTCATATTTAAGAAAAAAAAACCTTCTTTTGTAATATATGTATTAAAATAATCGCATTAAAAAAAAATTGCTGTCAACCGCAGTAGTAGGACACATTTAATCTGAACGAGTGGTGTAGTAGGACAAGTATGGAATCAGAACTGGGACAATATTATTATGACGCCTCTAAGCGAATTGAGAAACAGTTGGATTAAGAGAAAGGGTTGAAAAGTTATGAAAATACACTAAATCATTTATTGTGAAAAATATATCATACGTTTGAATGGCTTTTATACCAGATCGGAATTTATCCAGGTATTGCAGCGCGATTAATTAGTGAGGGGCTAAACCTGGACAGCCACTGCCGTCTTGTCCCACTTGTACGTATTAAGTTTCAAAAGGGATTGTAAACTTGGACAGTAAATTATTAAATACATATCTATTATGTCCAAGTACTGGTTCCAAAATTCATTTTGTCCCAGTACTACCTCCTTTACCTTAGTCTCGACAAATGCGTAAGAATATTTATCGTTAAATGTAACAAAAGAAATACGAAACGACGTAAATTTACAAGATATTTCATATAGGATTAAGTGAAAGAATGTGTGACCTGCGAAATGGCAATAAATGTTAGGCTTCTCTAAGATGGCTCCCTCGTCGACTTCCTCCACGTTCTTCTTCAAGATGTCCAACTGCAATTTTGAGAAACTTTCTATATCTTTCTCATCTGTCAACTTGTCCCCGTAAACGCGATGCGTCTCGTGGAGCCAGAGTCTGATCAGATCCACAGAAGATTGTAGACATTCGTTCCCGCTGAATAACAAACCCTGGAAACAGTTGGACAAGTCGCGGAGGTTGAAGATGTAGTGGAACTTGACTGCCGTGGGAAGGAACATTTGAGCGCAGCGATGGTGCAGTTGAATCGATGCTTGGACAATGTTGTTACACAGATCAGTGACGCTAGGAGGGAATCTATAAAATTAGTAATAAAAAACGTGATCGATTAATTCAAGAATTTAGCGTTCAACGAGTGAACTGCAAATCTTCGTGGAAAATAAATCGGCGGCCTATTGATGAACGCAAAACTTGCCTGTGTTCGATGTTCGACAAGTGTTGACTCAGAATAGACGCGTAGATAGTCGTCAGTGATTCAATGTTAGGAAAACTGACGGCGAACACAGAGAAATGTCTCTGTAATCGTGGGTTGATAGTGAAAGAGCCCGCCGTAGGATTCATGCAACTGACGTATTGGCAATTGTGGATGTCCTTTAACGTCAGTTTGGTCCTGTCGTACCAATGGCCGTAATCCAAATGCTGACGAATTAAAGTGTGCGGTTGAACGGTTCCGTAAGCGTCCACTTCCGGCATGTTCATGTCGTCGACGAAGTACACCAAAGTTTTATTACCCGGTGGCCCGTAATTCCTTCCGGCTTTCTTCTCCAAAGGTTTCTCTAAGATCTTCTGAAGCATCTCGGAGGAAGTGTAAAAATTGAACGGGACATTGGCCACCGCATAATTCTCGGGCAGTTGTAACAGTTTCTCCGCGACGAGGACAGTTTTCCCGGATCCTGCTGTCCCGACCAACATCACCGGATGTTTCTCAGCCATCAGCAAGTCCAGGAAGTATTTGATTCTAATGGACTCCGCGGTGTAGACCAAAACAGCTTGCAGAGGCATCTCAGGATCCAATTCGAACTTCGGTAGACGTTCTGTCCAAGGAGCGAAGCTCTTCGTCTCGGGATCGATGTAGTAATCAAACACAGTGCCTTGGGATGGAAACCGGATCTGCTTGAATTCATTGGTCCACCACTTGCTGAACTCCACTCTATAATCGACCATTTGATCTTGAAACATTGAGGAACCGAAAGCCCACACAGCTGCAAATACGAAGTACAGCTCGTAGTGTTCCTTCAAGAAGTCAGTTGCCGTCAATTCGAGCTTCAATAGACAGTGCAGAAGATGACAGAGCATCTCCACGTGCGCCATATCGGCGATCGGTGTTATTTTTTTGAACCTGCTCCTCAGCGTCTCCAGACACGCTGGAATATATTTGTCGAAGAGCATGACTAAATTGGATTTCTCGATGGGAGACGTTCTCCTCTCCACCCAGCTGGTGACGTAAGGATTCCAGCCCAGGTCCTGAGGATTTATGTACAGGATACCTGCTCGGGAAACCGTGGCCGGAGTCGCGGTTCTCAAATTCGAGATTTCGAAGAGTAATCTCATGACGGGCGTCAAAGCTATCCTCTCGTTGCTAGCCAAAGTCAGAACTTTATTATCGTCCATGACAGTGTTCAACGATTCTATCCACATCGGGTCAATGTCACCGTCCAAGACGATCCATTTTGGATTCTCACCGCCCAAGTTAGCTTGTTCCCTCATGATCACCGAGAACAAACCATCCTTCCACTCTCTAGTCGCTGGATTAATTATCCCGAACAGTTCGTCGTTGGTCACAGCTTTCGGATTGAGATCGTTGTAAACAGGTTTTCTCTTCATGTTCTGATACGTTCTGAAGAGAGTCTTCCAGACTTGCGTCTTGCCAGACCCGGCGATACCGACGATGAAAACCGAGTGTCTCACTTCCAGTAATTCCTCCAGTTGGACGACTTTGAGAATGAACCCGTCCTCCGGTTGCAGCAGCAGATCGGCTGCTGCCTGTTTCACCATCTTCTCGAACTCGACGTCCCGTTTTCGGGGAACGTCCAGCGCGGGAAACAGATCTGCTATCAGACCCATGAAGACAGGAAGATCGTCGGAGATCACTTTGGGGATGTTAAAGTCACGCAAAGCTCTCATCAGCACTTGCTCTTCCGGTCTGCCGGGATCGCCTCTCTTCAGGCTCCCAGCTACCACCAGTACCGACTTTATCGCGCGCAAACCCCAGTCGTAATGATCCTGCTTCGACAGCAGTTCCTTACACAAGGTGTACAACGTGATGAACTTCCTAGCCAAGATTCTAGCATCTTGGAATCCCTCGGCCACGAGCATGATCTCGCAAATCAGCTCGAAGTCGGGAACGACCATCGCGCAGGGCCGGAACAGGGCTTTCAGATTCTCCGGAAGCTCCGTGCGTCCCGCATAACCAGGATTCATGGTAATGAAGATACCGACAGTGGTCTCTAGACCGATGATCTCGCCCATGAAGTTGAACTTCTCCTTCTTGTCTCGAATGGCGTCTTGAATCGATTTCACTTGCACGGCGACCACGGACAGTACCTCGACGGTGATTCTGTTGAACTCGTCGAAACAGCCCCAGGCGCCGGTCTGGGCCAATCCTTTGAATATGTTGCCGCAGGATTTGTAGTCCATCTGCTCGGAACAGTTGAACACGTACACCATTATCCCTAAAGCTCTGCCCAGATCTTTGGTCGTTTCCGTCTTCCCGGTGCCGGCCGGTCCGGCGGGACCACCTCCCATGATCAGATGAAGGGACTGAGTCAGAGTTATGTAACACCTGTCCGTCAGGGGCGTTATGACTAATCTGTGGAAGAATGAAAAAATCGTCGAGTCCTCTTTGAGAGAGTTTAACGATCGACAGAGACAGGAGAGAGAATTAACCTGGGAGTATTTCCGAGGTATTCGTGAGAGTATTTGAACTGAGCGTCGCAAATATTAGCGAAGCAATCCTTCTCCTTCTCGTCCCACCGGTGGCGCAGTTGACTTTGCCATTGGAACGCCTGCGACGTCTCCACTTTCGACTGGACCAGCTTGGCCACGACGTCTCGCGAGTGAACGTCGATCGTGCAGATAGTCATCACCTTCTGCCTCTCCTGTTTGGTCAGCTCGCCGATCAGCAGCGTGATCAGTATGCTCAACTGAGATATCTGCTTCTTCAGATAATCCTTCAAGGAGTTGTCGTAGCCTTCTTCTAATCTGGCGAACGCGATGTTCACCTCGGTGGTCCACCAGATCTGCGTGCCGCAGAGGGAGACTTGGGCAGGGTAGTCGAACAGCCATTGTTCTCGTGGCTTCTCCTCGTATCCAGTCACAGCCTCGCTGAAATAGTGCCTAATAGTGGTCTTCATAGACCTTTGCAATCGATTCAACCATGCTTCCACTGGTCCCTCGCAGGTCATCTCGCAGTTCGCGAATTCCACGTACTCTCCGTCCTTGGCGAACATACCTACGACACAGTCGACATGAAGAAAAGTTGGTAAAATTCTTTAAAACTTATTATTCGTCGATCTACCGAATACGCGTTTCGACGAGCCAGGAGTGTCGTCGAACTTCAACCGTGCCATAGAATCGAACAGTTTCGTGAGATGCTTGGCCACAGCTTCTGGTTGATTCCCATTCGACAGAATGTCTAGCAAATCGCTAGAGGAAACGAAATAGAATCTCGGGAACGCGAGACGTTTAGTTTCCAAATACTCGGCCAACGCTTTCTCGCAAAGCACCAGCTCTTTCTGTAGGACGTCGAGAATAGATACCAGGCCGTCTTTGTTCGTAGCTTCAATGACGTTCGGGGTCTTAGCTAGTTCCTCGGTCATCTCTTTGAACTGCTTATCGATCCGGTCGAACCTTTCCGCGTCTACTGGCAGCTGTTTTCGTATGTCCTCCGAGGACGTGAAGATGCTCTCCAAGTGCATCCAGGTGCGTTGCACCTCGAACCAGATCGTGGTCACTTGATCCGCGATGCTCAGCTTTCGTTGCCAGCTGGACACCTCCTCGAGGAAGTGCGCGATGAATTTCGAGGTGATCAGATTTTGCAATTGAACCTGATGCAAAATTTAATTAAGAATGATTGACGATCGACGCGGTTAATTAGGATTTTTGTCGTTCACGATAATCGTTGATGCTACCTGGTTTTCTTCCAAAGTCTCTATCAATTCTTCACTGGCTCTTATCAATGTAGCGCCGGTCCTACCGTGAATCTCTTTCTCGAACTCCATTTTCGACCACGTAACGTTCAGCTCTCTCATATATTTTTCCATCGACATCTCCTTCACGGCTTTGTCCACGATGTTCTTCACTTCCTCCTCGCACTCGTGGAGATTCAATTCCAAAAGATCCGCCAGCGTGGTGGAATCGTCCATGACGAATCGTACCTAAACGTAATCACAATTTCATTCAACCGTACTTACGTACAATTGAGAAAAAATTGTAATTTCGATTTATTAATTGTGAAAACGTGACTAAAAATGGAACGTGGGTGGGTGAATCGAAAAAATGAAGAATGGTGTGAAATTGATTTATTGAATGAGATATGTACAATGAAGGAAAACGTGAAAATATAAATGATTTGCCAATGAGCGTGCCGCATGCATTGGCCATGATAACGGAATAATTTATTGACATCGTGGCGATTATATTAACCCTTTCACTGCGACGCGATTTCGTAATAATCCATCAATATGGACGGCGCGTTGACGTCGCACGTCGGACGCTGCGATGACGTATATTTACGTCTCTTGTACATATCGATAGGCTTCTAAGGACGTATATTTACGTCTTTCATATATGTATATCGATGGCCTTTTCAGGACGTATATTTACGCCTTTCGTAGTGAAAGGGTTAAAGTGCTTACGTAAAGTGCGCGTATTTACAAGTGGACTTACGGTCATTTCTGGAGTCATGTCGCCCAGTTTCTGGAACACCGATAGCGTATATACAGCGGTGCAACTAACTCTAACACCTCACGTGAAATTCTCAATTAAATTCATATAGAAAAAATCGCGACTTCAAAAACTTATTGCAAAATGTAACATGTTCCTAACCGATATTCGTACAAAAATAATCATAAAAAAACGTTTCGTTCGACCTATAGAAATATGTACAATTTTCCATAAAAATTAGTATTTTCGAATCGTTCAGTTTCGTAAGCCTATTCTTCGTTTTTTCAGCCTCGCTGATACCTTGGTGCTGTTCATCAACTGCCTCCAGTGTCTTTCCCTGATCGCAGGGTTCTGTAGCTCCGCCACAGCTCTCAGAGACGTCAGCATGTTTTTCACGGTCGCTTCTAGCGACACGTAAGCGTCCCACGACCTCATTTCCTTGTCCAGCGCTAATTAAATCAATGGTTGTACAAAGAATAGAGCCTCAGCGTTTCCACACTCTCGCCGCCCACCTCGTATCTCCTTAGCAAACTTCTTGCACTCGATGTCCATGTTCTCCACGTCAATCTTCCTCCACGGTGTGGTCTTCCACCCTTCGATACTGCTCCTGACGATGTTCACGTAATCCCAGAGCTGCTTCAGCATCTTCAACTCCTTTCTACATTGCTTCAATATCTTGAACTCTGGTACCATCACCTCGAACAGCGAGGCTGATTCTTGGATGTCCTTCATCTGACGTTCCAGCATCAGGATCTCTCTGTGAGCTTCGTCTAGTAACTCGTAAGGATTCTGGCAATCGTATTTGAAGAAGTTGTATCGTCGGAAAGCTTCTCTGTAATGCGTGATCGTCGTATCGAACGCGGCTATCCGTCCGCGGATCCTCGACACCTCGCCTAACACGTTTAATAATAATTTATATAAACTGCCCTTATCGTACGAAATGCAAATAATAGTATTCCGATTACGTACCTGCTTGCAACGGGGCCACCTGCTGCTTGACCATGAGCGCCAGTTTCTTAGTGTTGGCCCATTGCTCCGGCAGTTCTTGAAGGAGAACGTTCACTTCCTCGGGAATGTCCTGGTCATAAAATTTCAGCAGTTCGATCGTCTCCTCCAATGGCTGGAACATCTCGTCGGTGGTCGACTGTCTCTCTTTCACTTGCAATAGATAGCCCATCACGCTGACGAGGCGGGCGTAGTCGCCTGGTTGAACCGGCTGAAGCAAACCCTCGTCCGCTCGTCTGCAATGGATAAAAGTAACAAATTCTACGTACTATGGGAAAGGAGGTTTCAGGTGACCTTTCCACTGCGGGATGTAGATCAGAATTTTGTGAACACAGGAAAACTTTATTTAACTGTTACTCGCTGTTACTCGCTAAGCTCTCAACTCTCGACCAGGGTGCGCATAATTTTTCCCTCACGGCTCACTTCCCCTCTTTTTCGCCCGTATTTCGATTCCCACTACTATTCTCCTCATGCGCCTTCGCGAAGCGAACCTATCAAGTACCAATCCCCACCATGGTCGCGTTGTCCCCACTTTCCGGCCGAGGGATAAATTCTGAGACCCCTGCTGCTCTCGACCATCACGTGTTGTGCTCACGTCTCTCAGACACATCACACTCCACACACCCCTCACATATTCTTCACACATTCGGCAATCGTCCTATCACACCACACACCGTTGCCGCCAACCGGACACGTGGAGTCCCAACAGCTCGCGGCGGCCCTTGATCATCGACACCATCCGTGGAGCTCGATACATTGTCTAAATAATATCGACTCCGCTCGGGTGGTCGCCGATAATCCGCTTCCGCTGACCTCCGCGGGTCCTCCACGCGCCGCCTGACGACATGTGGCCACACACATCCTTACATTCATGCATCCTTACATTCCCACAGTACACCTCGCTGTTCGATCGCGATCATCTCCAGCGTGCAATTTCTGTCTGCGTTTTAAATTTCATAAAAGATTTAATTGGAGCACCTTATGAAAGTTCCTAAATCGGAGAGGCTGGTGGTAACGCGGTCGACGAGATGCCGCTTGAACATGCTGGACCATTTGCAGACCATGTTCAGCACGGACTGTCTGAAGGGTCTGAGATCGACCCTGAACCAGCCGCAAAACACTTTCGACGGTTCCATTTCCTCGATCTCGAGATAGAGGCCCTCGTAAAGGTCGATTTGCTCGCGGAATTGCTCCATTTTCGGCGGTGACCGCGGCGGCCCCTTGGGATCCTGCACGGCCACCATCTCCATTTCCTCGATCGTCAATTGTCGACTGTACTCGAGGAACTGTTGCATCACCATGTCTCGGTCGTCCAGCCAGAGATACGCGTATCCTGGAACAAAACGTTAACAAGGTTCCCCCGGTAGAAACTTACTTAACGAGGACGATAAAGTCGTGTACAGGCATGGAGACAAGAGGAAGTCGCACCTTCAAAGTTGCTGCAGAATTCCGTGGCTTCTTCGATCGCAGTTCCAACGTTGCTCATGATCTCGTCCTTCATTCCTTTTATGTCCGCGTCCTCTTCTAACTCTTCGGCATACCCGACGGAATCTTTCTTCAATCTTGGCATCAGCGCAGCCATTCCGATGATATCGTTCAACAGTCCTAGGATCAATTGATCCAAACTGTCCGGATCTTCGGGTTCCAAAGACGGTACGTAGTAGAGGTCAGGTTCTCTGAGTTCTAACTTTGCTTCCAACAGCGGTACCGACCGATCGTTCGATTCCATATTGTCTACCACGTATCCTGATATAAACGTTTAAACACATAATGATCTCGAGCTTTTCGCTTGAAACAGTTCGGCAAAATCTCACCTAACGAGCATCCTACGGCCTTTCGAAGAGATTCCATCACGATGACGTCGACGTAGACCACGTACCTCCGCCAGGCTTCCTCCGTCTCGTCCACGACTCGAAAAAGCGATTCGTTTTCTTTTAACAACCAGTGAATCTGCTCGGCTGCCCTCTCGACTTCTTCGTACCGTCTCGACACTTTCTCCGGACGTTCGTCGAACGACAATAACGCGTCTTTCCGACGGTCTTTCCTCTCGATCAACGGCGTCCTCGTCCAAGTATTCAGAATCGCCTTCACCTTCTCGACGTTCATCTGTGCCGCTTTGATCCGGCTCCACAGACCCTCCACGAGCTCGCCCAGCTCCGAGATATATTCCAGAAGTCCGTCTGACTTCCAGCACAGCTCCGTCTCGCCTCGAGAGACAAGGGAATCGATCTTGCTCACTTCGTTCGCGATCAACTGGAACTCGACTCGTTTGGTCAGCTTGCAGACGTTGTTGTACGATCTGACCGTGGCCGCGAGCAATGTTCGATACTTCCGGAACATCTCCACGTTCTCTGATACCTATACAACGAGCATCAGTCATAAGTACTGCGGGATCTGCAGGAATCATAACGAACGTATCTAATATATAAAAATATATGAAATATGGAGAGCTGCATCGCAACGTTCAAACGATGATTGGAATTTTTATTGAATCACGTAAAAATCTGTAGTCATAAAAGAATATTGAAACACCTTTATCGCCTCTTCGGGGATGTCGGACCGCGACATTTGCTTCAAGTAGTTCACCTCCCTGAGAACACCCAGAAGTTCGGGGTCAAAGTTTAATAATAATGTCGAATCCTTTTCGCGAGCTAGAATATTGCGATTTAGTCCAACGTCGACGGTATTCGGAACTGTTTGTGCCCATTCCGTGAATAATTCTTTTTCTTTGTCGCTGAAAATCTTGACGAGCCTCTCGTAACGGTTCTCTATGTTCTTGCCCTCCTCGCTGTTCACAATTCTACGATCGGAGCGAAATGTAAACACGATTTCAATTTCTATCGTTCGAATCGTCTTACGGATGTTGTAAATTTTTGAAGGATTGAACAGGCAGGTCGACACGTTGCCTCAGCATGCTGGTGAACGTCAGGGCTGCTGCCAGAGGCGGGAGATCGATTAACGCGCCTCTGGTACCGCGATGAAAAAGTACTTCGACCACCGTCAATTCGATGTTCAACAGATCCAGGATTCTAGTATATCTGTTCGTGAACTCTTTGCTTATCACCGGTCTGTCCAACACCGTCCCCGCGATGTTTATCAACTGCAACCGACATCGACGATCTCGTAGACGAAGATGGAATAATTTTACAAACGGAAATACCTTGAAGACGCTCTCAAGATTTCCACAGTCGTCGAAAGCTTGACAGAGGATAGCTGCCAACTTGCTATCGAGTTCGGTGATCGATTCGTTGAACCTCGCGCAATCTAGAGCGAAGGATTCGTCGTCAGGCTCGAGGGCATCGTTCGCCCGCACAGTGAAAGATACGAACAGATGCTGGAACTCTTTGTAGACGTTCACGATCCTGATGCTGAGGGATCGTCCCAGAATCCCACCGATCTCGATCTTCTCCAGCTTGGAGAACTCCATCACTGTGTTGAACAAACATTCTATGTCGACCAGCCGCTTCAGGAATAAGTCCAGTCGAGTGAAAACGGCGCTGGAATTAAAGTTCCACGGCGGAGCGTCGGGCTTCCCTGGCGCGTCTTTTCTCAACTCGAATTGCCGTTTGAATTCCTCAAGAACGCCTGCGAGGCGAAATCTCATTATGAAATTGCGACGCAATATACGAAACGCATATTTATTTAAATACGAAAAAATCTCATCTCGAAATCTCAATTATCGTATTCAAACGAAATGAAACGATGGTGGGATTATACCTACCTCGCGATATCTGGACCCGTTGCAGAGCCTCGTCGACGTCGCTCTGGAAAATTGAACTGGGGTCGAGGAATCGGCGAGCCTCTTGTATCAACAGGTTGCAAATCTGTCGAAGCATGGTGATAACCTTGGACGAGGTCTGATAGTAGCTGGATCTCGACCAGGCTAATCCGACCGAGTGTACCAGCGTGGCCATTAACGGCTTAGCCTCGGAGAAATCGAGCTCCTCGACCGCTTTGAAGCACTTGGCCAACGGGGATAGATACAGAGACACCTCTTTCGCTTCGGCCATCGAAGAGACCACGTTCGCGAACAGATTCCGGAAACAGGGAAAGTACGCGCTGTCCGTTCGCTCGAGAATGCTCGACATTTTCTTCACGCGATCCTCTTGCAGTTGATCATAAATATATCTGAGGAACGTGCATTCAATCTTTGCATCTACGTTTCTTAACTTGATTTTCGCTTAACACTAGAAAGACTGAAACTTAGTATATACCTATATTGCCGAAAAGCAGTCAAAATGACTGCATTGTGAAAGAATAATGTGTAAAGAAATTTGTCTAAAATTAATTTTTAATATTTTTTATATTATTTACAGTCATATAACAAGTTATTAGTAAATGTTAACAATAAAAAAATTTACTTCACTTGGGAAAAAAAATAATTTATCCATTATTATTTGTACTTTTGCCCAAAACCAGTCAAAATTAGTTCCTTGGGCAATCTAGTGTTAAGAATGAAAGTGATACAATTTGATGAGAACGCGGTCATTTCATATTTGGAAACAACATTGACAATGTTTTACTTGGCATAAAAATCAAACGCATTCTTCTGAACGTACCTTAAATTGGCTAGTCTGGTGGACCAGTACTCGAGCTCTACGTCAGGCGTAGGATTCTGATTGTTTTCGAAAGCTGCGCCGGAATCCTGGGTGACGACGTCGTTCACCAAATAGGCCCATTTTATCACGACTCCTTCGATGGCACTTTTCAAGTACAGGTCGGCGGCCTGTGCGCCCTCGGCGCGCACCAGCTTCTCCACCTCTGACACCTTTTCTAATCCAGCTGGCATCGGGAGTACCGTTCTCCCGTTCACTTGACCTTTCACCTACGTTACGACAGATAGTCAAGGTTCTGTAGAAAGTCTGTATCGAACGAGAAGAGAATTACTTGGTACAGAGTACCGCGAAGAGAATGAACGTGTCTAGAGATATCCTGGATAGCGACGTCAGGCAGATCCTTATGATTTTCCGATTTGGTGAGAAGAGGAGCGAAGACGTTGTCCACCAGAGTGGCTAACTGGTCGACGACTCGGGATGACAAGTCTCCCAAAATCAGCTCGGAGGAACAGGCGTCCTTCTCTTTAGACAATGCCGTCTGCTTCACCTTCACCGCGTAGATACCTAAAAAACAATACCGAAATCCTAGAAATTGTTTCCTAAATACTTTTTATCCTTCCTCGACGGGGTACATGCATAAAAATATTCGATCTTCGATCGTAAACGGGGATAGAATTACCTTTGGTTCTTTGGCACGGTATGGGAAAGGAAGAAGACGCGACCAATTGAGCGTTGGGCGTGAGCGCGACCAAGAGCGCAGCTGGCAGAGGATTATCAAGGAAATCCAGCACGGCGTTCCTGTATTCTTCGGTGAGCAGCAATCTGCTCCATTTCTCCGGCTTCAGCTTCAGCGATTTCTGAACGAAGAGCCCGATGTACTCCAGTCGAAAATCCGCCGGGCCCTCGGCAGCAGCCATCTCTAGCGTACGAAATCTCGTCCCAGGATTAAAAAGAAGACATTTAAACGAAAAAACGTTGATCCTCGTTTAAAGGAAGAATACGCTCCGGTGAAGTGTCGTATTGGTCTCGTGACGAGACCGAGGCTGGCACAGGATATTTCAGTAGGTTTGAAATATGCAAAAGAAACGAGGGGGGTGGTGGTAAAAATGCCGATCGTTTGCGGCAAGCAGGTCAAGAGACCAGGCACCGACTGAACCCGACAGTACCCGCGTTCTGGCATTGGCTGATCGTGTCTTTCAGACGACTCTACAACAGACGTAGACTTTTCCTATTGTCACGGGAGGACGCACGGAATATTATACCGACAACAAACTGACATTGCACGCGATCACCGCCTTCCGCGTACTGGCAGGTACCGTTTCGCTCTTCTGCACCGATATTAGTTCAGCGATGCCTCTCCTCGCAAACTTTCAATCGGCCACATCATCATTTCCCGACATGTGATATTTTCTAATCAGATTCAAAGTTTTATTATCGTCGCGATTCGACGTGAAACGATTTCGGACGGATGCGACTGTGATACGTAATTAATTGACGACAATAGACGGAAGACGATCTAAGTGATTTACTGGGTAAATCGTGAATGAAATAGGAAGGACGGTGGAATCTGTTGTGTTCGTGCTCGATTGCTCCGATTTCCGGATCGATCGGTCGTGAAAACGTGTAAATCGTTCGGTAAAAAGTAGGAAGGTCGCAGCTGGTCGTCGTTGGATTTCAGCCAGTGGAGACTCGCGTCATTTGCTGGCAGGGATTAACAGCGGAAAGGTTGATAACGGATCAAGTGGGCCCTCGCTCGATCCTCTGATCAGCTTATCGATCTAGCGAGCACCCATTGTTCGGTCGCGCCACCGACAATGCGGCACTCTCGACAATGGCCAAAAACTGGCGTAAAAATCGGGAAAGGTGGTGCAGCTTGCGAGAACATCTGCCTATCTCTGCTCGCAGCGTCGATCAAACGTCAGAGCTAATTTCTCCCGACGGATCAGCCGCCTGGCCGTTTCCCAAAAGACACCAGATTTTCCGCTATCTCTCCAACGGATCACGTTCGCACGAATGGATCGCTTACATAATAGTTGAGGAAACGCGTGTCGTATGAAGAGGGTGGCTCGTGCGCTTTTCATCTCGTGACCGAACCGTCAAGGAACAAAGAAGCCGGAATCCCAGTGCAATACAATTTTCGTCGATTTCTATATTTCAGAGCTAGCCGTTTCGATCTGCTTCTCAGATGTTACATCTTCTCTTCAAGCAATTCTCTCTTAAATGCTTCTAAACTGTAATAGAATTACCCAAGTTAAATGCGTCATCGTTTTTATTGATGACACTTAATTATCTTTGGTTCAGACGAGACTCTATGAGAGCATCGACCGATGCGCTTTAATTAAACGTAGCCGGGCGCGTCTAGGTACATTCCACAGAGCCTGCTGGTGGCATGATTAAAATAATAAATTGCGGGCACGCGTGGAAATTAGCAACGCGAGACGATGCTAGCCGTTTTCTCGCGCCGCAACGATACCGTTGAATTATAAATGCCCGTTGCGCAACGTTGAAACTCGCGCCAGGGTATAAGGATATTCCCTACGCGAGAGATTTCGGCGCACCGGCCAGGTCTCTCTGGCCACGGGCCAATTCGATCTCACGGTCCGCCTCGTTTTCGGAATTGCGCTATTAAATTTACGTTACGGAAAACGTCCCCGCGGCGCTTGGATTTCGAGGACGCGATCGGAACGGGCTTTCCCGACACTCGTAACTGTCTCCCATTCGCAGTAAAGAACCCTTTATCGCCGCTGCATCTCAAAATTGATGCTGGATCATACTTGCCGATCTGAAATTATTCTGTCCAGGTAATAGACCATCGTTTCGCTAGTTAACTTTATGTTCATCGTTTAGGCTTGAATTCTGTGCATAAAAATAGCAGAGACAAGTGTTCTGAGTTATGCTTAATCAAAGTTGACTACTTTTCGATTATATAACATAATATACATAATGTATAACAATCTGGAAAGAATTGACCAGCTTCCTAACTGGTCTTTAATTCTTTAAATATTTTATAATATTTTTATAATATTATT